TTTTTGACATTTGAGAAGCTGTGGCTAACAAATTTTCATATATCTCTGCATATTCTATTGGCAGCACATTTAGAAATAGAAGTGCAAAAATTTGTGGGACAAGCGGTACTATACCTTCTAGCAAACCTAATAGTTAAGCCCACCTTATGAACAAGCTATCTCATGGTATTTCTGACACAAACCATGGAACAAAAATACACAATACATGCAGGAGGATTTTGCAAGATTTCAACTCTCCAGTTGCTCTCTTGAGCTGAATCTGATACAGTTACTAACACTCCAGATTATGGTCAAACCTTCCAAAAGTTGGATTCTCGTGTGTCCAGGCTAAGCAGCTAACAACCTAAAAATGGTTAGGACTCATTTTTAATGAGTCTCCTCCTCCAGGTACCTTCAAGACCACTCTAAATAATTCCTCTCTCACTTCTGTCTTCCCAGTCACTCACATTTAAGGTACCACCATATTTTCTAGGCTAAAAAGTGTTCCACACCCAGCTTGCATACGGTCCTCCAGAACAATCCAAGTCACCAGTATCCACTCTTGTCTCGCCCTCTTTCCAGCAGAGAATCTGGAAATAAGCTGCAGGCTGCAGGGACTACCCTTGTGGTGAGAATAGCAGCCTTCTCTCAGCCATCACTTTCCTTTTTATCCCTCTCCCGGTCATCATTCCTATGCAGCATGAATGTACTATGCATACAAAACAGTTGTTCTCTGCTTCCTAGGAGCACCAGATGTATTTTATGTGCATAGATTAACTTTACTAAACCTGCGCAATCCACTCAACACTCCAAGAAGGGCAAGAGGATTCCTAGGACAGCACAACACCTCAAATCTGGGTTGGCCCAATACACCAAGTGCTCCTGGAGTGCTCTGGTCTTACTGCCCACGTACAGAACCGCACCCACAGCAAGCCTACAATGTGTGGTCATTGCTTAAAGAAAAAAGAGACACTGGGCCCTGCTGCATATACACAGCTTGGGAACGATGAAGCACAGTGACTTCGCATTCTACGTGCTGATGGTTTTGGGTCTATCCTAGTTGCAAGATAGCCCTATATTAAGGCTTATTTTTGTCAGAACTGGCATATATTACCAAGGAGGGTGTGGGGGGGCATTGGAATATGGCACTGCCATCTGATACTTTGCAGGATTAGACACGCACGTGACGGCCCAGTCAGTTTTAAGGCAAATGCCTGTGTACATCATAGGAGAAACAAATGGTTAGTATCCATAAGCGTACTGCAGTCCACCTTCTGCTAGCCCTCACCTCCCATGCATTATGAGATTTTCAGCTACCTTGGGCTAGCTTTCTGCTTTTGAGGTACCTTGAACAGTTCCTATAGCGGATATTCCATGCAGTGTCTCGGACTATAAAAAGTGCACGTAATAGAAAAACAGTCTCGTGCTGCCCAGGTAGAAAGATCATGAGCTCTTCAACAAATGTTGACGTCTTCCCTGAGCTCACTTTGTACCTGCAAGGGCAAATGATCAACATGAGACAGCTGGTAAGCATGGCAGCGTACCCAAAGCTCAAGGTTAGCAAATCAACAGCCACTGCTGGGGGTATTTCATGAAAAGCAGAGCGTACCCTTGTTAACTACATATGACAAATACAGAGTAGGGGTAGCTTGTAGTCACAACTTATTTTGCTTTTATGCCAGTGTGTAGGAAGCAGAGAGGCTGCCTATCTTTACCTTCCCTCCCCACTCTATCTCCAGACTGTCCCAGGTCTTAAGGAGTATTTTCCAGCTAACCCATAAACCACTTAACTACTCTCAAGGCTGTTAGTATAGACTACCTCTTCAGCTACTGCTTAAACAGCAACAAAATTACCACAGAAATTATACTTGGCTGGCTAAAAACTAGATAATTTGCTTCCTGCTCTCCCATGTTATAAGGATGCAAAGGCAAAACAATGAGTTGATGGTTGGGAAAAAGCAGCAGGAGAGAACCAAAACCCCTGATGCCTGCAGCAGCTCAGGACATCTTGTGCTATGAAACTCTTGTTTTGATGAGTTGTCTCTGCTTTCCTTAGTGCTGCCTAATCTCTGCTGCAGCCTTATGTGCTCTCAAAAGGGAGAAATCTCCCTTTTGCATAGCCAGAAGTGTGGAATCTGAGCCCATCCACCATGGAGGTAAAGGCACAAAACAGCTTCACTAGGCAGAAGGACAAAATCTGAAAAAAGTTAACTTGAGATACATCTTGACTGCAAGTTTTTAAGGCCTGTGTACCTTAAGAAGAACTTCAGAGACTGTGAGCAGATGTCTTCCCTTTCCCTA